AGTTTGGAACGCTTTGTGAGAGTCGTAGGCTAACATTTTCCACCCATCGGGAGTCTGAGACTTCTATCCAAAGTTTAACATTTCACTGCACATCCAAGGTTAGCAAGAAAGTTCACCCCGCTGACAGGAACTGCCATTTATTACGGCGAGAATATCACTTAAAACCAATACAAAGAAGGCATCCTTTCAACACGTTTCCTGTAGTGAAAAGAAGTGTTGAGAAAACAGGTCCAAAAGACTTCACTCATGCAGAACTGAAGCAGGTGAGTCACAGGCAACATGTAAGCATGCAGCGCTTTGAATGAGTGCTACAAGTATGAAGAGTGAGAGACGGGAAAATAAGTAAGCAGAGGGTAAACATTAATTGTCAGAGGAGCGAACATTGTTGTCCTCTTACTCATTATACCTGGAATTAATTTAGGTCAAACTATCCAGCAGAAATTTAAGCACATTTAGACTGATTTATGGATTCAGGCTGTTTTTATTTTCTGTCATTAAGAATTCAATGTAGCGTCTACTTTTCTTCGCAAAGTAAGACAGATTTTGATCAAGCCTTCATGTCTCCAGTGAAAACAGATTAATAGAGGCCGTATTTCCGCCAGCACAGAGCAGTCACTGAGGCAGAGGTGGATTTAGGAATGTCTGGTATTGCTCCAGGTGCCCCTAATGAAATATTCAATCACAGAGATTGGAGGGAGCTTTAGAGGACAGCACCAGACCTCCCCTGTCCTCCCACCTCCACAAATACATGCCTCGTCACACCCGGGTAATCCGTGCATGAGGGGACTTCTCACTTCCCAGCCAGACGTCTATGTGACAGAGCTGCTTTTGAAAGCCTCACGTCCCCTGTCCTCCGCTCTCCCTCACTTCCTCTTCTTCCCCTGCAGCTGAGGTAGGATGACAGGGTGAGAGGAAAGGGGCTGAGGCATCCACATGACCTTGGAATTAGTCGAACTCCTGGGACTCAGCTTGCTGGGTGGGACTACATTGGCAGCTGCTGGATTTTTCCCTCCCGGGTGTATGAGATTAATGAATGCATTGGGGTTTGGGGGTGCTGAGGCAGTGGAGGGGGGGCTCTTGGGGCATGTGCAGTTGAACAAGAGGGATCCAGAGTAGACCTCTGCACTGCAACGGACTCATGCAGGACATTTTAACATAAAGCAAGAGCAGAATCTGTATAATTTGGACTTAAAGTCATGTAAATCTTGTGCTTTATGCTATGTTGTCATAAAAAAAGTCAGCCGTGAATATACAATACATTTGTGATTGTATTACACTTGCATCACACTGCTACACAGGGTCTGTTTACTGCTTCCTGTAAGGCCACACACACCACACACTCTGGGGATAAAGAAATTTCCCATTTTCTCCTCAAGTATCATTTTCCTTGAGGTGGAACAGTGACCCATTCATATCCCTTTAATGTCTTTTTAAGGATTACAAATGGGGGGGATCTGCAGAGTATTTTGCCAATCATGCTGTGCTTTTCCTTGTTGATATGTATTAAACTTTCCGGTATGTTTTCCATTCATGTACTGATGAAATCAAGTCAGTTTACTCCATCTTTAAACCCTTCAGTATCATACGAGGAGCCATAAAAGAGATTTTTATGCACATACACATACAGTAAACGTAAATATACACATGTAAACGTACATACACACATGTAAAAGTATCAAGACCAGTCCAGGAGCCAGTGGAGGGATCTACGAATTGGTTTAATATGCTCAGAAGTGAATAAGCTGTGATGGTTGGAGATTTGGCTTTTAAAGCTTGGAAAGTGGACTGCTGCATGCACTGATCTTTTAGAGTCTGGTTGGCTTTCAAATGACAGAAGGTTGACCATGAGTTCTGATTCACCTGATATATGGATTTAAATATTTAAATCGTGTTTATCCAAATTATTTGTTTGATTTGAGGTAGCTAAGGAAAAAGAACTGGGATGAATAAACTTTGGATCTCAGTACTGTGCAGATTTGACAGTAATGGTCGCAGAATCAAAATATCAGAACATCCAACATGACATCCTCTATATTTGAGGCATAGACTCTTATTGACACAAAAAACTGCCTGTTTTGTAGTAGAATCTAGCCTGGTGTTGCCAGACCAAATCCTCTTGTCAAATGGGTCTGGGACAGTTCAATTCATTCCATTTTCCTGCGGTTGTACAGACCTACAACAAACCAGATTAACACGACATATGATGTAGTGCACTGCAACAAAAATGGATGCAGACAGCGGCAAGCGGAAAGAAACGCTTCGATCTTACTGATAAATGCTGTATGTGCAGTTGTTCATGCTTGTTTGAATGAAAGTACATCATCCAGTTCTTTTAAAACTACAGTAGTGGATTTAACAGACTTTTCAGCAGCAGATGCTGCAAGGTCGGTTGTGTAGGAATACAGTGAAGCTGTGCTTCTTTGTTGTCATCTTAAACAAAGGACTTTGAGTAGGTTGAGTAGGTATACTTGATTCTGAGAAAATTACATGCTGCTAATATTGGCCTCGTGAGGGCTGATGCCAATATGATGTCTTTTATTTCAAAATCAGCCAGCTGGCTAATATATCCATTTGTGTTTGAGGGCATGAAATCACCAGGAAAATGTTTTATGAGGAAAAACAAAAAACAAACAAACAAACAGAAAAAAACTTCAAGATTTCTCACAGACTTCTATATAACCAGACTTTATTTGCAAACTGCTCAGTTGCTCCCTAGTGGCCAATTTAAAAAATATATATGTCCTTTGACATTAATTACACTGTTCATCTAAGGTATGTCAGGTATTGAAAAAATGAAGAAGAAAAAAAAAAGGAAAAAAACACATGGTCCTTTAAATGGATTAAGTAGGAAACATTTTGTTCTGACTTAACAACAGCCATATTGACACAGGTAAATAAAAAGACTGTACCTACAGAGAAGTTAGGATGACCATATGTTACTTGATGCCCTCAGTAACAAATCTTCTGTGGTCTTTTTTCCCAGAGCCCACCACCCCAGGAGGCACTTTTACCTTCAGCTCCACCATAGCCGCATTTTAAATGGAGCTTCCAGACCTCAGCTGAGCTCAGCTGCTCAGGCAATCAGAGCTTTTTTCTCTGTTTAGCAGGGAGCTTGGTTGTGCACGCATGTGTGCTTGTTTGTACACTTAGAATGAACGCGCTGTAGCATGATGCATGAAACATATTAGCGTGACATAAATCCTGTGAGCTCAGGTACTAAGTGTCACCAACATATTTAAATAAACTGAGCAAAAAGGCCGAGCTGAGTGTTGACTCGCTGTTTGACTTCTGTATGTGTACTCAGGCCACATATATCTATTTATCCAACTGTATTTTGATTAGGTGAACAAATGTAGGAAGATAAATGCGGAAAGAGTCGGTCCCTCCAATAAGATGTATATTTTTCCTGGCCCTGTGAAGTAATTTATAACACTAATCCTGTGGAGTTTTCATGTGTAAACAGCATTTGAGATTATGTAAAAACATTTTAGGATTATGTAAAGGAGCAATTAGTCAGCAAAGCTGCAGGCTCTGCGGTACGCACGGACACAACTCGGAGTGGCTTCTCTCAACAAGCCTTTTCATCTGGTATTAATGGAAACATTTCATTTAAGTTTCTCTCTTCTCCCGTGTAAGTTTGTCTATCTTTCTGACAGGTGTTGAAAACTAAAAACTACTACACTCTCTAACAAAGCCATCATATCTGCTGTGATCCACTCAGCAGTTCTGTCCTTTTATTCCATGATTTCTCTCTTTATTTGAATTCCCACTGACCTCATGACGTAGCGTGGAATCAGGGTATTAATCGGGACTTAGGCTCAGCCTGTTCCCGGCCTCTCATCTAGGGAGTGCCTACAAAGGTGCCCGAGCAGACCAAATCCTGGCTTCATTTCTCCATATGAACTCATTTCCTTGCCGTGGTTCTCGAGTTCATGGCAATGTAACCTGAGGAGAGCATGGAGCGAGGGCCTCCAGGGGATGAAAGCATCCAAAAGCCTGAGAATTAACCCCTCAGGTCAACTGCATTATCCACCTCTATTTATAGTTAAACTTTAATTTCTAGCGGGTGAAAAAAGGCAAAAAAACAGGATTACAGGGGTCACAGCAAGAGATTTGCAGTTAATTAAATCAATCGTAGAGATTGACAAAATCTGTGGCTTTTTCCCTTCAATATTCTGTCCACTAAGTGACATCTTAATTAGATTACATGACTAAATTTCACAACCACCTTTAGAAAAGAGTGCCAAAGTTTCTTTCAGGAGCTGACTTAAAAAAATCTACATTTCAAAATTTTTATTCTTTTAATCTCCCCTTTTTTATTTACAGATAAAAAACTCTAATCAGAACTTTATAATCCTCATCCTCACTCTAGTATCTGCTCATTGGTTGTAATGTGAAACCATCTTTTCCTCACAAGGTCCTTTTTTCAAAGGTTTCTACTTGGCCATTTAAGTAGTTTATAAATAGTTAAAACTATAAACTTTAATTATAATCAGAAAAAAATATCCATACACCACCTCTCATTTTCTATTGATGGCTGCGCTACTGGTGGGATAAGACGACAACATCACAGGCCTTAAATAGCCACCTGTTTGAGGAAATCCCCTGAAATATCTTGTCAACTATTCTGGAATAATAAACATACCATCAAATATTCAGTTTTTAGCTGTTCCTCTAACTGTTTTTGAACTCCCACTCAGCTCCCAGCGGGAGGAAGTAAAGCAGTCTGGACGGCTATATTTACACTAATCTCACAATAGAATCTGTAACCGTGATAGTAGCACCACTTGTGGTAAATTCATGTATAGATTGACTTTTAGGGGGTAAGAAAAACTTCACATTTTTCCTATTTTGGGGGGAGGGGGCAGTTGCAAGAACTTTCATGTCCTTTGGAGGATTTTTGTGTCATCAGAAGTTAAAAGGTGACCTCTTTTGCTCACAGCTCAGTCGACCATTCAACCCAATGCAGCCCATTTCAAAATGCACTAATATTTCCCAATAAACCACCAAGAAATGCCAGAAATCTTTGATACCATCTAACTGATAATGATCAGTTAGATGGTATCAAAGATTTCTGGCATTTCTTGGTGGTTATGCTGTGTGATTAGCTCCTGAAAACTTTAGTTTAGGTGACCAGAAAATCAGCCTTTAGTGTCTGATAAGTCGATAGTCTATCATTATTAATATTTAATTGGCCTGTATAAGATGACGCAAGGGATGACGTTAAGCTGAGCGACATGTTGAGAGAATAAGAAGAGGGCAGACATTTTTATGACATAATTTAGCTACCTTATTGGCCTGAAAATAAGATGAGCCTCATTTTGACATGCCCCCACCACATTTTTTTCGAGAATATATTCCTTGAAAAATACTTTTTGAAGACCTTTTTTTTTGTGTAAATAAATAAATAGAAATTAATATAAAACAAATAGTAACATTAAAATTTTAGATACTCAAATTTATGTAGAATAAAATGTAATTTGCATAACTCAAGCACAGATGACATCAGTATAAAGTCTTTTTTTGGGGGGGTGGGGCTGGACATTACACTCCACCACACTTCTCGGCTGTTTAATGTTTCTGCTGCACTGATTACAGTTTTCTTCATTATAACTCTGCAGAAGTTGTTGGTTAACTTGTCTTCTGTGCAGCTTTGTTCACTGTCACTTCAGCTTTTTTTTACCCCAGGCACTGCTTGCCATAGTTATGAGGGGGACACTAGCTTTACAGGTGAGTGGTGCTGTCTGTTGTAATAAATTTTGACCTTTAATTACTATATTCACCAAAATATAAGACTTATTTGTCCTAAAAATACTTAACAAAAGAAGTGGGGTAGTCTTACACGAGGGGTTTAGTAAATAAATGGTGCCACTTATTTGTAAAGCAAGTGTACCCCTCATGGTTGAGACCAGGCATTACATACTACTGTGATGCCACATTGTCAGGGTTGTCATATATAAGGGTCAATACCCACAAAATCAATCCCAGTGTTTATCTCCAAGTCAGTATGGTAATTTGATGCATTTCCCAAAAAAAGTGCAAAGATGACTTGTTTATTTATTAGTTGTTTTATCAACTGTAGATGTGTTTCGTTTATAAATGCCAAAAGGCCATACAAGGCTGGCACCTGTATTATAGAGAAGGATCTGGGTCCTATTTGGGATAGTTTACACTGAAAGATAATTGAACAGAAGAATACCAGGTGACACCTTGTAGGAGGAGATGGATGATCATTCCTTTGAACATGATAATGACTTAGAGGTAATTGCACCAACAGTATGCTCCTCTCTTTGCATTCCCCCCACATACCCCACCCATCTCTCTTGGAGCAGTTTGCAGCTGCCCCACACCTCCCCAAAATGCTTTGGTAGAGCAAACCCCTGCACCCCTGGAGCACAAAGGGAGCCTGTGTGAGGTGTTCACCTACCCCCACCTCACCACCCACCTCTCTGCTCTTCTCCCACCCCAGCCTGTGAGTCTCTCTCTCTCTCTCTCTCTCTCTCTCTCTCTCTCTCTCTCTCTCTCTCTCTCTCTCTCTCTCTCTCTCTCTCTCTCTCTCTCTCTCTCTCTCTCTCAGTGTGGCTGATGTGCTCCATTTGCTGGATGATGGACTGAGCGGGACAAGGCAAAAGTTCACACACCTTTCCTGTTCACATGGAAGGGGAGCGTTGGTTTGACCCTGCCAGGCTGCTCAAGGAGGGGGGGGGGGCATCTCCTATGTGCCACTGCTGACCGCCCCCCCCACCCCCACCCCCCTTCTCCTCCTTGCACTTCAATTTGTCCCCTCATTTAAGGCCAACCACGCCTCTGTTGTCCTAATGCCATAACTGCTCTTGACTGTGCTCAGGCTGCCGTTTCCTTTCCAGGCATGAAGCGAGGAGTGGGGGTCTAAAGAGAGGAGATTCTTTGTATAGGGTCAATAGTTAGTGCTATATGAGCTCACAACGAACATACTATAGTTTAGCTCAGAAAAATACCAGCCGTTTCTGTCCATTTCACTTGGTCTTTTTACTTTTATACCTGGACCACAACATCCTGCCAAAAACTTTTGCACTGCAGTTTGCTGAGGCCATAAAAATTTGGCGAGAGAAGAGGTTGAGAGAAAAGTGTGTGTTTGCATTTTTAATCAGTATGTACTCAGCATATCTGGCCCACGAGGCTGCAGCAAGCAAAACAAATGGCAGAGCCACCATACTTCCTCTTTTCCCACAATTCAGCTGTCTAAGGGAAAAGGTCCTGCCAGTGACTGAGCACAATTTGGCATCCCCGCCTCCGCCTCCCCATTCAGCCGCACCACCACAACCGCCACCACCTTCTTCCCTCACCCACCCTCTGACCCCCACACATGCGCACCCACCCACCAACCCTCACTCACGCCCCTCATCCACACACTCCGCTCCAGCCCAGAGGAATTCATTTTCTAATTTTCCCTGACTGAGAAAACAATACACATGCCTTAACAATGTTGACATCTCTAATGCCTTAAAACGCAGTAGTAATGGAGCTTTGATTGGTAGTAAGTGGATACAGGATTACAAACACACACAGGGAGCTCTCTTCACTGTACTGCAGCCTGCCTGACCTCCCCTGAACCAACACTGTGGAGGTAAAACAAATCCAAAAAAATGCAAGATGATAAAACAAATGTTGAAACGAGCTCAGAAAAATGACACAAATTAAGCAGAGAATAGACTGAACAGAATGGATGGTGATTGAGGTTATCTGTGTTGTTATGAAAGTGTAACTGCGTCCAAAATTCTTGGATGTTGAAAGACTGGATTCTTAGATTAGCAAGCTGAAGTGCATTCCCTGTATTTGGTTACACACTAACTACGAAGTAACACACTTAGACTTTATATGTGATTTATTTCTATTCCGATAAAGGTCAGACAAGCTTGATGCACATGACTGCGGACAGCAGCTCAGTCTCAGGCCACACAGAATGTGGATAAAAAATCAGAGCTGGAAGTTCTTGTATTTTTGTGAATAATGAGACAGAGGACATTTATTAAGCCTCATTTTTCAGTCTTTTGGTTCACAGAAAGCCAAAACAAAGACAGGTCAGGCTTGTGAATGATCTTGAGAACTTTTAATATGTCAATCTATAAATTATTTATGCCCCTTGTGAACAAATCAGCTTTTGCTTATCGTGTTGTCTACATGCTTCTGACAAAAATCTCATCTTGTCAACTTTTACAGTCAAATGTTAATTTTTCTGAATACTTACTGTGGAAACAGAGCTGTTTCTTTAGCTGCTTGGCTGACACCTACCCTCTCACACTGTTATAAAGCATTAACTATTATAATATACAAATTGTCAGTCCTGTTGCTAATGGTCTTGTTTAATTTTGTGTATCAAAAAAAGATATCAATATGAATTTCAGTCCATTTTATGAACATAAAAACTTCTCTAAGGAGCTTTAAATATAACTAAAAAGTCATTATGAGGCACTTAAAATTAAAATAAAGCACTTAACTTCTTACAATCAAAATATTATGATTAATTTTTATTTTAGAGAACTCTGTTGGTTCAAGATGTACCTCTGGGTTGAAGGCTTTTAAGGAGAATGAAATATCAATCAAAATTCAAATGACACCATAAACATACTATCTACAAAAATAAAATCTTGTTTGACATTTGAAATACAGATGATTAACTTTTTGTTTCAACATAATTGTTGTATGAATTTGAACAACCTCAATTAGAAGTCATGTTCATATCCAGCGTAGGTATAGATTAAGAAACAAGTAAAAAAAAAAAAACATATCAATGGTGTAGGTGGATCTATGCTGGTGGGCTCGATAAAGCTTTGTCATCTGTTAATAAGCTTGCTATTTTCACTTTTGCAATCTCCTCCTGTGGTCACTACTCTGCCACGTTAGATATAGCCTACACTTATCCTCAGCAGAGCCAGAATCCAAGAAAAGATCAGGAGCCTCATTCGCAGTTTGTTGCTCGCTCTTTGTGGTGCGACCACAGAATGACATATGAGTGAAATAATAAACAATAATTTGTAGACCAACGTCATGAAAGCCATTTATAACCGATTGCTGCAACAAGTCCGGTTCGGCTGTTTTATAAGATATGTTTTATTAACTCTGCACTTTTTATGTGATTCAGATTCAGTTATCTTTGAAAAAGAGGTGACACAGTTCCATCTTAATGTATGCAAAAACCTGCAGTAGGGTTAACCTTTACACTCATGGGAATGACAACCACGCTGAACTTTCATCAGGCTGAACTGCAGTTAATAACTTTATGATTGAGCTCTGTGCACATAAAATTAAAGATAGTGGATCGCAAATAAGTTTCTTCCAGTCAATTTTGTGTGCCCCCGGTTCAAATTTAAGTAATAACTTTAAGAAGTGTAAATCCTGCAAATTTGGATGTTAGATTGTTAACTGCTTTAATTGCTCATTTGTGGAAATCCCAGGTTTCCCTTTTAAGAGGATCACAGATAAAAACCTTGACTCTTCTTCATCACAATGAAAATCCCCTTTCTAAGGTTTGCAGGTCTTCCATGACAAGCCCTTGTCAGACAGCACTCATTAACCACTTCGTCTCCCATGAACACCTCTGTCTGTTATTAAGGCTAATTGTTAGCTAAGTTAACGGCAGCAGTAACTTCCTTTCCCCACTGCCAGCTGATTTATTGCCGCTCACATTCTTGGCTGAGGCAATTCACACCAGTGCACCTGTCACAGTCCACATAATCTAGATATTCTTTAGTGGTAGTTTATTATGAATCCTTTGACACTTTCACTGCTGTGCTGATCCATCTAATACATAAAATAAGAACCCTATAAACTTACTAGTTTTTCATTCTTTCAGCAGAAATTCCCTTTCATATGACTTTAAGTTATTTTATTGATGCCAATAGTTTTACTTTTTTGATTTTGTGTTAGTTTAAGAACAAAGAAAACACATCAATACAATAACTCAAATTTAAAGCTTCCTATTCCTGATCAAGTGTCATGGGACCCCCCCTTATACAGGCAATACATGTTTCATTTATATATCTATTCATTCGTTTCATAAGTCTATTGCTGTAGCAACAACCAGTTAGCTTGGCTTGGCATAAAGAGATAAAAC